AAGAGCGCTGGTTTGGAGAGCCAAAGCAAGGTTTGAAGATCCACAGGTTATCGCGTCCGCATATGCAGATATCCACAAGGACGGTGTCTTTCCGAAAGACCCAGATTTAGCGAGCTTCCTCACATCTTCGGCTGCTGTCGCTGCAGCGCTACAAATTCAGCATGCATTCGAGGCAGAGTACAGCAAGCAAGCTTGCATTGACATGATCGAGAACTATGTCACTTGGGGTGGAGATGGTGGCTTGACAGAGCAAACAATGAGGGAAGCGTGCCGGCTCCCGCCCAGAGATATCCGTGCTGCCAACACAAAGTTTTCTGCAGTCATCCACCTAGATGAAGTAGAGGATGATGAAGAAAAGGAACAAAAAGCTCAATGGTGCGCTGCACGAGAAGCTGTCATGGATGTGGCTTTCAGCAAAAAGAAAATTTTCTTCCCGGAAGCCTTGTTGACAAGCTTGAAAGCCAAGGGTGGCCCAAATGTTTCGAGAGAAGGCTTGCTTGACGGACTGCTGAACATGAAGTACTTGCAGAGGTTGCCTGGATCAAAGAAGGCGGACACCCGCAAGGTGAACTACCAATTCCCTGGCCCTTGCACTATCCGAACTCGCAAACAAGTGGTAGGTATCGGAGCTCAAAAACTCAGCAGAAGAGCGCAGGTGATGCTTTTGGATCAGACACATGACCTGGACATCGAGAATTGTCTTTTCACTTTGCTTCCCCAACTGCTGGAGAAATTGAAATTGGATCCACCAATGCCACCGGATGCACTAGCAGCCTTTGCCCAGTGCAGGTCACAAAGGACTAAAGTTTGCGCAGATGTCTTGCAATTGCCCCTACACGTGGGCAAAGAGCTGCTGGTATCTATTCTGTACGGCGGACATGTATCGGGCAAATTGGTGCGACATGACTTTGTGCAATCTTTGCAGTGAGCATCTATGTATTGCAAATGGGCTGCTTCTTCCAGCTTACCTGAGGAGTTTGCATCCTTCGTGGAGGACACTACAAAGAAAAACCCTGACAGCTCTGTTCTAGCTTATCTGTACATGGCCGCTGAAGACTACGTTCTGTCTCACTGGTGCGATCATCTTTTGACCTTTTCACCCACCCACTTGTCACTACACTTTGATGGTGTCCGCATATCACCTCTGCAGGGGATCTCCATTGAAGAAGTTTGCAAGCAAAGTGCATCCTACATTCTGGACAAGACTGGCTTCAAGGTCACAATCCGAGAGAAGGGACATGAGACTGTGAATGCCTTGATCAAGAAAGCTGCTGCGTGTGCGAAGAGGGCTCCCTTTCCCACAGATCATGTCTACTGTGTGCCAGGGAATTGTATTCCCCACGCTTTGGCCAGTTTGGGTGCCATTACGGAAGAGAAGGTGTCACTGTTGACAGAAGCATGCCCAGACAATGCATATATGCAACAGCGTGGATGTCGCACATATCTGCAATGTTCCAATATGTTCCACTGTTCCTTCTCGCCCGTCTTGTGCACTCAGTCTTTTGATTTTCGAGGAAACTTCCTCTTACATTCCGAAAATGGTGGCAGCCCACATTGCGTTGCTGTGAAGCAGGACGAGGAAGACAAGCTGATTGTTTTTGACACAGATGGTGTCTTCCACTTAGCAGTAGCTGACTTCGAGACAGCGTTGTTAGGTGGTGTGGATGCTGCCACGTGTGTTATTTTCAAACTTCAGGAAGGCAAAAAGGATACAGATGTGGGTATGTCCGATTTTGAGAACCTCCTGGACTTAGCAGCAGGGAGTTCTGAATCAAATGAAGAATGCAGACGATGCTCAGGACACAGCATTACTGCCAGAGGTGTCCGAAAAGAAGGGAAGCTTTGATTGGCTAGATGACACTGGACGTGTGATCACCGACCAGGTGTTGTTGAGTGATTTGCAAACGGAGGCGCAAAAGTTTATGGAAGCTGCCAAGGCTGGACAATTCCGAGCCGAACGCGGTGCTTTTCAATGCCCTGCGTGCCCCTTCCGGAAGTTCGACCGCTGCAAGCGTCTGGCTGTCCATCTTTCTCGGTATCATACAGCAAAGCGTCAGTTCTGTTGTTCCGGCACAAAGCAGATCAAAATCATTCTTGCTCTCCATGACTCAGACATGATTGCTGAAAAAAGGCAAGGGAACTACCTGAAGCGAAGCGCCACGCTGCTAAGAAGATCTATCAAGTCAATGCTTTCGCCGCAGAACACCGCCGTCGACAAGGAAATTCGGTTTCTATTGGATGCTTCAGGTCCAAGGGTAGTGCATCGGCAAGCACTTCGCAGCGCGCGTAGAGTTGGCAATATGTACTACACACATTCCTTCGCTGAGCGGATCTTCCAAGAAATGCTCTTGAACCATGCCAAGGCGCGGGGAGATGAAAAAGGTTCAATGGTCGCACAGCATGTGCTATGAAGGTGAAAAACCCTTGTAGTGACTGCTCTAAGCACCCCTCAGGTGTCTGCCTTGGTACCTCGTTTTTTGCTTGACTCAGCAAAAGCTGGCAACAGCCTGGCGTCAATGCTGCCCACCCACACTGCGTGTTGGTGGCCTGTGGTTGAGGACGTATTCGCATCAGCAGCTTGCAAAAAACTCCGTCATCATCTCCTGGACCAAGCTGTTGCGCATGAGGAGTGCTCGTACCTGTCCATTGATGGAACATTCAAGGTATGCTTGCCATTGATGGGGCAGGGTCGGTTTTCAGACCCAAGAGCCTTACGCGACCAGCATCCTTATCCGGCAAGTGACAGCTACACCCGTGTTCTCTCAGTGCGGGGAAGAAGCGGTGCAGTGCTTTGCCTGGAGCCATCTTGTGGAGAAGGCGCAGACCACATCAAAGCGTGTCTTCAAAAAAGCATTTCAGCGCCTGGACTTTTGCAAGTGGAACATATTGCAAGCGACAATCCTTCACCGAAGCTTTTTTCTGAGCTCAAATCGATCTGCGCAAACCTCAAGGCCTTGTCTTTAGACCCAACACATACGGCTATGCACTATGAGCAGGGGCTGGGTGGAAGAAAGTCTGCAGGTTCGAGCCTACTTCGGTCATTCATGGTGAAGTTCACCAACCACGACGAAGCAGTGACCCAAAACATTTGGGGACCATTCTTTGAAGGACAAGCTTGCGTGGCCCTATCTCGTGAGGAGCAAATGTTGCGACAACACATTCTGGACAGCTCCTTGGCAGTTGTCCGTTCCAAGCGGATACTGGTTTCTTGTGAAGAATTGAAGGTCTGGCCTACACGGATTCAGTTTGTGGAGGCACTGGCTGCACTTTCCTGTCTTCACAGAACTGACATGGGCCGGAAGATCGAAGGGACTAAAACTACGCTGGCGAAGCTCCTACACAATGTCACAAGTGCAGAGAAGCTGGAGTGGCTCTTCAACAACTTGAGGTACAGGCAATTCTTACCACATCGAGTTCGTCTGCTGCTGCCTTCAGGCACTACTGCCAACGAAGCACCCCATGCAGAAATCAACTCATGGTATCGACAGACTCAGCAGATGCACCGCAGCACATTGGTGCAAAAGCTGCAAATCCAGCAGCTGGGCAAACTATTGGCCCACAACATTGCTTTGCACAGCCCCACAGCAAAGCAGATGCCAAGCTCTCATGTCCTCTCACAGCGAGTTGGAAATCCTCTATGGTCAGCCAAAACCTGGCAGTCGGACATGGCGCAACAAGCATCAACCTTGCCATTGAAAGCTCGCAGAAAAACAGAGAAGGAGCTGGTGGCAGAAGCAGCTAAAAAGCGTCCAGCAGCAGCTCCAAGGCCGAAGGCGCGTGCGAAGCGCACGCCATTTACTTTGGAGCGCAAACCCGGTCTCCTAAGGAGCGGGGTGCGCAAAAGAAACTCGATGTGACAGGTGAAAAAGAATTGCAAAAACACTGCTTGCTGTGCTTGTGCAAACACAAACAAGACTATCTTTGGACATTGGCACGCTGGATTAGACTTAACCCTTCTACACTCTGCGCGCTCAATACACAAGCAATTAGTATGTACTCTCAGCGATCAATATGTTGCTTTCTCCCGGCCCTACCTGCTTGCTTGCCTGGTATAGACGGACCCTAATCTCTATGATTTGCTGGATAGTTTCTTGGCATCGCGCTCCGCATCTGGTTCTCCAGTTTCAAGTCCAGTTATGGAAGTGGAGCAACAGCCTTGCTATTTAACGTCTGCGAAGTATTATTGTGCTCTTTTGCTGACAGGAAAAATGGGCGGGTGCTGGATGTTGCACTTAGAACCAAAGCAAATGTTGTCTTGAGAGCTCCCACGACTCATTGTACCTATTTTTCCATGCCACGGGGGGGGGGGTGTTGAATTGAGCGATCAATTATTAGACCCGGACGAGCCGACACTTGCTTCGCAAGACAAACTCAAGGTATCCCCTAAAGGGCTACCTTTCGTGATCAAACGTACCCCCTCATGAACCTCTACTCCCCTTAGAATGGACCCCCAGAACCACTGGGTCCATGTCGGTTTGTGGGGGTGATCCTGTGGGATTTGGATTCACAACGCCCCCCATTCCCCCTATTTCTTTAAAACACCCTCCAGGTTCAACCTGCCTCCGTCCGACGCCACTTCCACTTCCCACGAATCCAACACCGAATCCCGCCCCCCAGAGGGTTACAGCTTCTGACCGCCGTGCCACGACAAAGCCCTTCGTGACACGACAGGAAAAGCCGAATCGGCCGTGACACGAAAAGCCCTTCCCCATGTATGTATGGGATATTTATGGGGATTCATAGGATTCCACCAATAATATTAGGCAAACATAGTCATAGTAGGCAAAACAGCAAAACATAAAGAAATCCACAGGTTGGGGATCCACCCAAAAGGAATGAGGCCAGGGCTTCAGGGATTGGGATGGAAGTTGTTTTTTCAGAGCTGTTCCCCACGACCATCGTCCAAAGAAAAATCAAAGTTAAGCCTAATTTCAACTGAACATGTCGGAAACCTTCGGAAAAATCGAAAGATGTGGCCCCACCCTGGATGTGGATATGTCCTGATCCTCCTCCCATGACAAGTCAAAGCTGGATGCCTTGGATGCGGATCGGCCCTTTCAAGCCGTCGAAGTTGGAAAGAATGGACATTGGAAGGTGCCTTCAGTAGCTTCGCTATGATTATATATATCTATGATTCTTATGATTGAACAAGATCATGATCACAAGTTCATCAAAAACTCATATGACAAAGAAAAAGTGCACCTCCCGACTCCCGCGGCCCACAAACATCGTCCAAGTCACTGGATCCTTCTTCTGGGCCTCCTTTTGTGCTTGGACCTCACTACTTTGACGCCTGGGCCGCACGTCGGCTCTGAGCATCATCGCTGCTCGGCGCACAGGTCCAGCTGCGCTCGGCGTCGCGGCGTCGGCGTCCTCTGCGCTCGGCGCGGGTGGAACGTCGTCGGGCACCACCTGAGGGTGGCGGCGGCGAAGCCGCCGGTGGTTCACCGGCAAAGCCCGGCCACGAAAAAGGAACGAGGCACCGGGCATCCGCGGATGTTATTCTTTTTTCGGGAAGTGTGCAGGAATTGGTCCAACTGGTGATGAAACCAAGGGAGTTCATGTACAAAAAGTTCCGCATTTCGTCTTCTCCCAAGCGTGGCACAACCCAAGAAATCATGGGATCACGGGAAGGTCTGTCAACTCCAAGAACACGACCATCGAGGCTGGGAGGTGTAGTGGTGCATGGCTTGGAAAGAACATGGCTTGACAAAGATGTACCTGGCTGGAAGTCCCCTGAAGTGCCTTGACAAGGCTTGTTTCTTTGGTCCCCAATTGCTTCCGGCCTAAGGCCCATAGACAAGCCATACAAAGGAACCACATGAACATCACCATTCATTGAAGGGTCAAAGCTGACAAAGCTTACAAAGAGCTCTGGTGACTGTTCGTGGTCGTTCCTCTTTTTTTTTGGATGGTTCATGAGTTCCACGTCTGGCCTGGAATTTGATGGTGAAGAAAAAAGCTACCCATAAAACAATAGAACGGCTATTCACTTGCCGTTTGATGTTGTTATTCAATCACATCCCAAGGAAAGAAAACAAGAACAGTGTCTTCCTCTTACTGTACCCATGCCGAGGATTTGAGCAATACAATTAATCTGCCGTTTCCGAACCCTTTGCGGCTCCAAAGTGGTTGCTGTTCAAAAAGAAACCGGCAAGTGCTAACTTTGCTTAATATCATGTGTCACACAGTTTCATGAATCTGGTCAGTGTTGTGAATAAGTGTATTTGGTGTTGAGACGACCTGGGAACTTGTTATACTAAAAAGTGAGGGCACCAAAAACACGTATTGAATTCATAAGTGAAGTGCAAGCCTTGTTGAACTGCAAAACTTGGCGAACATCCGGTGAATTCACCAGTTGCTCAATTTACCAAATTTGATTCGTCGGCACAGCAGCACACCACCAGCAGCCGCCCAGCAGCAGAATAGCAGCCGACCAACAGCACACCAGCAACGGAACAAAAGCAAATTACCACTAATGCCAGTCTCACTACAAGTGGGTCTCTTACAAACACAGACCGGGTCTTAAGCAGCCATGCTGGCCCAAAGTCGTCCATGCATGGCCAATGGCTTTGTCAGTTTCAGATGGAGAAGAGGATGGGACTGCTGTTTGAATGTTGTGCATCCCCTTTTACTTTCTCTGCTGGGCGCCCCCTTGGAAGGTTCAGTTGACGGCAGAGCAATTGGCCTACTTGGATTTTGGGAAGGAGTTCTTTGAAAGGGGAGGTTGCTTGGTTTGGTTGTGCAGCGCGTTCAGCACTTCAGCCCTGCCTGTGTGTCTCACAGCTGAGGATGCCACCGATTCTTGGACTACTTTGATTCCAACTTGCAAAGGTTCACCTATGCTTCTGATTGTGCCTTGGCTAGGTGTTTGACTCTCTCGCGCCTTTTGATAGTTGCACACTTTGTGATTGATTATCCTATCAGGCAGTGGGATTGATGCGCCATGGTTTGCACTGAAGATGCTCCTGAAGAACAGCAAGCGGCCAGTTAGACTTGAGTATGTGCCTCTTGGCTCAAGATGTTCCCACAGGTTCCATCTTTCTTTCTACTGACGATGGTTTGCATTGCATTCACAGCTGAGGCACAACAGCGAACGAGATCGAGCTGCGCGGGTCTTTCTGAAGCAGAACCTGCCACCGCCGGTGCAGACACCTGGCTTGATTCGGGCTGGATTGATTCAGACTGCTGAGAGTCAAATTCTTTTCTATAGTTTATCAGGACTTTTCGGAACATCTTTGACACCGACATGAAGGGCGTGAAGAGGAAGATATTTTTATACACAGCGGGGTTTCCATGCACCCCGTATTCTCGTTTGCGCTCTGGACACAACCCGTGGACCGATGGCAATATGGCCCAGATGTGGAGAGTACTGGACAATATTTCGGAGGCACAGCCGGTCGCTTCTTGAATCGAATATGTTGCTTCTTTTTCCCAGGTGTTCATCACACATTATGCAACTGGTCACATCCAAGGCATGCATTCTGGAGAACGTGCTCGGCTTCCAGGATGTCTTGCCATCAGTGCTTGAGACGATTGAAGAAGAACTTGCTGAGTCTTTGGCCTGATGTTGTTTCAACATGCTTCGATAAAGGGTCCCACAGGACTCACTGCAGTCAAGAACTCTGAGGTATGCAGTGGCCACAGAGATCATTGACCCGCCTCTTGACAGTAGACCGATGCACTTTGTCATTGTGTTGTTCATGAATCATTGTTCCGATTGTTCCGGATCTGAGGTATCAACATGGCAGCCCGATATCTCGCCAGCGTATCTTCATCCTTCTCATAAGGAAGGAACTGATGGAGAATGAGTGCCAGCTGGACAAGGTCTTTCAGACTATGAAGGGTTTGTTGCAGTCCCAACCCGATGTTCATTGGTTGCTTGGCAGTGGGAATGTGGTCTTATTTGCTTGTGACATCGGACAAAGTCATAATAATATGTTTTGTCAGGAAAGACCTTCTTCTACCCCGTGGTGATCCAATGGTACAGGAGGACATTGAATTCAGAAAGCGACTAAGAATGCAGAAGTTTGCCAAAAACAAGTCAGAGACCGGGACCCATAGCTGCATTAATCCTATTTGCATTCGACTGCGGTTCAACTTGTTCTGCATTCCATCACTTGACTTTGGGGAAGGAAAGGTGGTGAACCACAATGGAAGAAGCACCATGCTGACTATGCTAAGAAACATGGAGTGGCCGTTACTTGCCTATGCAGTATCATGGTCAAAAATAGGCTGCATGATCTTGCAACCACAAAATTTGGTACACCAAGGTTGAGGAAGCAACAAGCTGCCTCAAGAAGGCCTATCCGCTGGTTTCTCCACAGGTCGCATCGCAGCGTGAACGTGAGGCCTGGCTATCTCTCAGCACCACAATTTCGTTCAGTCTCAGTGGTTCTTTCTGCATCAGGCCCTGGACCTCAAAATCTATCACCGGGGACTCTTTGAGTGCATCAACCCTACGCAAAGCATTGATCGAATGCCAGTGATCTATGGCAATCATGAGCCGTTGATGGTGCTGACGTGCCATAGCCGGATCAGAAAACTACTATGTGAAACTCTAATCCAAAACTATTGAAACACTGACCAAGCAAACCAATACCATTCCATGCTCCAAGGCCAGCTGGACAATACTTAATTGGATCTCAGCAGCGCTTCTTATTGGGCTGCTTGGCTTCAATCCAAAGGCCTCTCAGACTCTCAGCTCCAAGCTCCTGGCCAAGGCTACGAAGTTCTTTTGTTGATGGGGGTCCCGGTCAACACTCTCAAGCTTCACGATCTATCCAATTCTGCCCCTTGACTATATTTATATATATGGTACACATATGTACGCATATAGATAATATATATATATATATACATCTCTATATAGCCCCTTGCCAAGGGGTTGCACGACAATCCATCTCAGGACCTTCGGAAACTGGGTGGCAATTCCATTGCTCTGAGGGCAGTTGCGGTAGCGATTTGCACTTGCCTGGCGGTGGTCAACCCTGCCTTGGCCCAGCGCTATATGTGTGGCAACATGTCAGGTTAAAAGCTGCTTTTCAGCTGTGGTTGCTGTGTTTGCATGAAGCTTACATTCAGTGTTCCAGTCAGGGTTCCACTCACTTTGCAATGGTTCAGCATGAGCCTTCACTTTGCAATTTCCCAGTGGCCACTGGCCCAATTGTTTGTGTCAGGTTCATGTGGTTCATATTTGTAGTACAATTTAAATCTCCAACCAATCTCTCACTTGCTATTTACTTTGAGATGCTTGATTCGTTCAATGGCATGTCAACATAGTTTGTCTTAATTCCTACCATGCCGATTCTACATCGATGGGATGGTGACAATGATGACATTGATGGAGCAGCTGGAAGATGGCGGTATGATACTAGCTCAGACAACGAGCCCGTGACTGAAAGGGATACCAAAAGAATGAAATCTTCTTCTGCTTGGCGCTATGATGATAGCTCTGATGCTGAGAAACCAAGCAGTGCCGCTTCGACCCTCGCTTGTCGATTGGGTGTATGTGTTTTTTCCTGATGGTTGCTTTGTCAAGTAGGTTTGTCGACTAGTGGTTCACTAGTGGTTCATTGTCAGCTGCAGGCGCTCTGAAACAGAGGATGAGGATGATGACATATCGGATGAGGATGAAGTTTGCCTGGATGTCAACCTGACGGCTGCAGGTTTACAGGCATTCCATGGGCATGGGACAAGCGATGTGCACTCGACCTACAGCTCCAATGGCTTGTGCCCACTGAGGATCAAAAATGTTCTGGCATCGCCGTGTTGTCCCTGCCACTGCTCTCTACCCCGAGCTGCCTTGCAAGGTGTTTGCACATCTTTTTGGGGACTGTCGAAGGATATCCAGGACTCGATCCTTTGGAGCGTACAGTCATCTGGCAACAGTGAAAGCAAGCGGAAGTATTACATTGAAGGAGCACGCTGGTTTTGCTTTGTGTTTTGCATGTGCTTTGTTTACATTTGTGGGTACAGCAAGCGCAGGACATCAGCTTTGCCGTCAGGCCTGGTTACGCTTCATGGGCATCGGCAAAGGCCGTTTGCGAAGGACCAAAGCCAGACACCGCGGCTTAGATGAGCGGGGGTCCACATGTGGAGCCTTGGAATATCTTGATGATGATGTGATATTCAAGTGATGTGATATTCAAGTGATGTGATATTCAAGTGATGGAGTTTCATCGTGATCATCCATCAAGGATCGGCGCCGCGGTCAGCAGACCAAACTGCATCATGCGATGCATTCTTCATTGCTCTTTACTATGAAGCAGCTGAGTCAATGCCGACAAAGCGCTTTGGGATGAATATGATTTTGTATCACAATGTTGAACTGACTGAATGATTTGTTGACGGCATCCATGCAAGGTTTGCAAAGAATGAGCTGTTGGAGAAGTCAGACGAGCAGTTGAGGG